CGACGGACTACTTGAACTCAGCCCTTTAAACCGCCTCTGCGCTCTCTCGCGGGTCCCTCTCCTCTCCAAGGCTTAGTCCTAGGGCATTCACCCGTTCTCTAATCGTCTGTGCTCTAGCCATCGCGGCAGGACCATTGAGGAAAAATCAAGTAGTCCGTAAACCCTACCCTCAGGTCTGGGCAGGGATCATATCTTTATCCTTGTTACTGGAAAACACAAGGGAGTGTCTCCACCCCCACCCCTGAACTCCAGCCTCAACTGATTCAAAAGTTATAATAAGCATTCACTACTCGGAAGCACAATGATCATGCTAAGAAAGCTGTTGACCGCAAAGTTCAATCAAAATCCATAAAAATATACTAAGTTATAAAAGCTTATGTCTGGAAAGAATCTGGGAAGAGGGAAAAATTGAGATGCTTGAAAGCTTCAAGAAGCAATGAAAGGTAACGTCGCTAGTAATAGATCATACTCAAAGGTATCATGTGTGCTCGTTAACTATCCACAGTTAGTTTAGTGTGTCAAGTTATCCTGCTTCCAAAGTGCATATATTTTGTGCTGGAAATCACACAACACATACCATAAGTCCTTTTTTCACGCACTCCTGCGCCTCTTGTTGCTTCCCCATACAATTCAGAATTAGACCTTTCATTGCAAGAGTTTCTGAAAAGAACTTCTATGCAAAGCCAAATGTATTACTTTCTGAGTATCTAGTTCGTAATAAAGTAAATTAAAACAGTTAAGAAAATGCACCTCCATGTTCTGCAAAGTTAGGATTACTGAGGATAGTTTTAGCGTATTTCAATCCAAAGCGATATTTCTTGTGCTCATAGGATTTCTGAAAAAAAAGCTAAAATACACGACAAAGCCATGGTAACCAAGTAAGTGCATCAAAAGTAAAGTAAGAAAGGTGCTAACTTAGTTGGGGGGGGGGCACGCGGCGGCGCGGCAGTCTGCTCGCCTGGCATGTTCGGAAATCCGTGGGCCAGGGGGAGTGTAGGCAGTCTAGGGGGGTGGGGGTGGGGGCAGTCACTTGACATGCGTGAAAAGCTGGAATGTTCGAGTTTACACTGTCTCGCTCGAGAGAGCCCAGGTGAGCAGACTGCCGCGCCGCCGCGTGCCCCCCCCCCAACTAAGTTAGCACCGAAAAATGTCATAAGCTAAGTAAAAATTGACAGCTTACAATGATCTTCTTGAATAGGCCAAGTTCCTTCGATGGCAACGGTTGACTACTTGACTGACCCGGGGGAGTCATCCCTTCACCCTTAAACAAACATTTGTTTCTAATAATCATCATGACGAACTAGAGGCTCAGAGCGCATTTATAGTCGGCCGTCCGGTCGCAACGATCGATACATATCTAGTGCTGTACGATCTTTAGATCGTTACGATCGGACGACCGACTATCAATGCGCCATAAGGGAAGCCTGTTAAATCGGATAGCGAGCGAGTTGACGTTCCTTTTCGTTTTCGAGTGCTATAAATCTATCACAGATTGATACAATAGCAACCATAAATTAGGACACTGACATGGATTGCAGACAAAATGCCAAATTCAGAACACTCACAACTATGACTGCAAAGAATACAACACTTCATAGCTCCGATTTTGAATACAAGTCGGATCAATAATGAAGAAAATGGGTTCAGATACAAAAAAAAACGCTGTGCAATGCGAGAAGACCCGATGTAGCGCATCCCAAAAGCCAAATCGTAAAGGCCTAATCGGTAACATTTCCGGAAAGGAGGCCAGAGAGCTCAAGGACCTTCTAATCAAGTCATTAATTAAGCTACGAAAAAAAAACACAACGAGTTACTGAAAGAAAGCAAATACGTCCTGATCTTAAAAAATGGCCACTTCTGGCCTAATCAAATATTAAATAGAAACGAAGTGAGAACTGAGCAACATCCTTGGAAGGCAAAACCGCGGTTCCAAGGGTGTCTAGGCAAGAAGTAGAGACGTGAATACGTACATTGGATGTGACTCTAAAGTTAAAAATTGAAGAGTCATCGAGGTTCAACATGTTTTAAATATTGACCACCATTTTAAAGGAGGAAATCCTGTGGAAACAATTTAACCGTGGAGCGCTTTTGCTGCCAGCGCCCACTATTGCTGGCGCTGTTCTAGTTGACACTGGAGGCTGAACGATTTTGAATATTCTGCTTTTCTCCTAAAAATAGTCAAAGAGACGTGGCATTCAAGCGTGGAAACTTTGTCAATGTGGCTTTGACGCGCTCATCGCGTGTTAGTTAAGCGATAATCGAAGCGAAGTGAGGGGGTGTCAATAAGGCACGCTTGCTGGCTGTCTGTTTGCAGTTCCTGCTACCATCCTCGAATTACGTTCCTTGCGGAGTCTTTCGTACGAGGAGAAGGTCTTTCCACTTACGTTTCAGGGAATAAAGTTAAGAATTTGCCACCGCTCGAGAGTAAAAGGTGGGTGTTTGACGGTGACCACTGACCACTTCCTGTAAGATGCCGAACTGGTTATGGGTCTATTCCAGTTAGGGGGGGGGGGCATCATGATGCAGTTTCTCGAACATTCCAGCTTTTCACGCATGTCAAGTGACTGCCCTCACCCCCACCCCCTAGACTGGCTACACTCCCCCTGGCTCGGAGTTAGCTTTCTGGAAAAACTGCATCATGATGCTCCCTCTAACTGGAATAGACCCCTGGTTATGAAATCGCATTCTGGTTAGTCTAATGTGGCCCTTCCAAAACTGGCATATGGCTGAATACGATCCCAACACGCGTCAGCGACGCCCCCCGCCACTGCGCCAATGTGTACTGCTGAACATGGCCGTATATCAGGCCAGGGAAGAGCCGTGGACGAGCATTTTTCCGCAGGAGCATAATCACAGCTGGCTTTCTGGATAAGAGTGGAGTCGTATTCGGTGAGAATGACGGCTCATTCCCAAAAGTAGGATCCAGTAGGTATTGGATAGGTCAAAAGATCCGCTCTTTTGAGAGTTGTAAGCGCAGCGCCTTGCGCTGCAGTTCGGATTCTTAGGTTGGTGTCAGATTCCGCAATCCGTCGCAGGTTCGCGCGAAATGGTAGGAGAATCCTACCCTATTCACGTTTTAGGTTGGTGTCAGAGTTCGCGATTCGCAGCGCGATTCGCGGGAATCGCAAAAATCGCGAGTGCCACTATTGAACA